AATTATCGCCAGTATTGCTTATAATCACAATGAAATGTTAACTGTTTGGACTTAAAGCAATAGATATTTTTCAATTGTACTAAATTTTTTTTTCTATTCTTGTTTATATAAATATTTGGAAAAAGAAAGGCGCTAACATAGAATTACTTGAAATGTTTTTAAATTATGCTGGTCATTTATGTGAAAACTACTATGAAACAGTGATTATAAATCTAGTTTGTGTAAAGTATTACAGCATAGTTGTTTTCATTCATATCACATAGTTTTTAAGCGTAACACATCACCATTAGTTTCAAATGTAGGATGAGTAGTTATTGCACATCTAAAACGAATGCAAAATTTCTTGAAAATTCTGCAACGCTTATTTATGATCCGTGTTCTTTTTCTGAAATGTCAAAAGTGATATTTTTACCATAGGCAGCATGTTTTCCCACCTACCGCACTCTTACGCAATGTGTACCTTACCGGCAGTGCATATTGTTCTTAACGTTTTGTCACCTTTCTTTTTCACCCACTTTCTTTCCAAAATCTCTCCCGAATAGTAACACTGTAACGGCTAGAGATCTGTGGAAAATTTACTGGCAAAGACTACGAAGGAAGCCAAAAACCCCAAGCGACACGAAACTGTTTTACAGTGGGCGGGGGCGTTAGCTTTTTTCGACCTTGAGTCGATGCCCTTTAAATATTTATTCTGTTCGCTTATTAAAAAAGAAAATATAAAACACTCATCGCTCGCTTCTCTGTCACTAGGTTGGTTTGGAATTAGGTATTCTCATCTGTCATTAAAATTCAGGAAAGAAGTCTATATTTCGATTAAGTAAATAAAATATAAAAATTTTCATCCCCCTCGGATCTGTAAGATTTTGAGTCTGAAAAGATGGAAAACGAAAATGAAAAAGAGAGGGTTTTTCGGCCCAAAAATACGTCGGCTATTTTCGTCGAGTTTCTTTATCTACGCCTTTTCGAAGCAAGCAAACGTGGATTTACCGCGGCAACTAATTTGGCTTTTTGTTTATCCCTCTCTTTAAGGAGTTTTTATCTTTTCTTACCGTCATGAGGTCATTATGCACAGCAATGCCTCCCTTTCATACAATGTGATTTATTTAACGACTTTTAATTGTTCGAAAAATTAAGTTGTTTGCTTAAACTCTGTGGGTTTTTTTTAAAAAAAAACATTCAAACCTCTTAGCATTTTAATGATTTGTTTGCTTAGATGATTTATTCAGTAATTAGAGAGTGTTCAGTAAGTTTAAAAGAGTGTGGTTTGTCGAATTAGATTCCAATTCGACTGCATTATTTTCGGTAAAAAGTTGATATTCCAATTTAAAATAAGTTCCTTTAATCAAATTTTTTAATCCAAGTTTACCACATTTTCTAAAATGTATTTATTTATTTATTATCATCACTTAAAAATGATAACTTTTTGCTATGTCGACAATTAAATATCAATGATGATATTTAAAAGTGTACCGAATAGTTTGCCCTGAAGTAATCGATGGCGATAATTTAAAAGTCTGTGAATTTAAGAAGAAAAAACACTTTGCATTATAATTGTTCACAGTTTAAAAATTCTAATTTTTCCGTTTGAAAAAGAACAGAAACTTTATATTATTTTGAACTTGTTGTTCGAATTAGCATTTCCAATCATGTGAGTGCAAAAAAGGTGCCAAATTTACCAATACATCTTTTTTTTTTATCAAGTAAATATTTGCTTAGTGCTTATTGTGTTATTTTAGATATCTTACCTTACTTAGAATCCTTACAATGTAGAATATAAAAAAAAAAAATCGGTATTATTTGGAAATGAAAATATTTTAAAAACTTGATTTTTCATACCCTTTTGCGATAATAACTGTTGACAATCGTTTAGACCAGGTTAAAATTGAAATATGTTGTGTTAGAATATCAGCAGTCGGGCGAGGCTGCAAGTTGTGGTTGAAAGGCATGGCTTACTCTAAATATGTATTTGATTGGCACGATAACTTTTAGCTTGCGATAACATTGCAAACTATATCTCTGGGTGTATCTTATTGAGTTATATTGATCGCAAAAACCGCTGTTGTAAATTAGAGGTTATTATGCAGCATTGCTTTGGAAATTTTAATAAAAATAAGATTGCACCGCGCGCGCATTTTTATAAATCAAAAAAGAAAAGTAGAAATCAGTATATTTGTACCTTTTTTCGATGTGCTACGAAAAAAGGGGGGGGATAGATATTTATTTAGAAATCCGATTTCACTATGAAAAACACGTTCATTATACTATTCTTTTCTGTTAAAATTAACAGATATTTATCGGTATCAAAAGCACTGGTGTTTAAAATTAAGAGAATGTTTAAAGTTCTCGTAATTTTGAATATTAGTGTTTTCCCCATATATGCTTCATGCTTTTTCTCAAATACAGGTTTCATTCAAAACATGAAAACGAAAATTTGGATTTTAAGTGAGAATTAAATTTTAAAGTGGAAGTATGGTGAAGAGCAATATATGTAATTCAATTGCATACATTTTTAGTAATATCAGAAAAAAATTTGAATTAAAAATACATTCCAAATTTAAATTTTGTTTTATAATATGCTAAAATATCCTAAAAAAGATATTTTAAAGCGTAATACGTTTCAATTGCAACATTTGTTGTAAGTTTTTGCATCTTTGTGAGGATATTTTAATTTATCGCAATATACGCCTTGAAAAATTTATAATTTACGGTAAAACAGTTTATCAGTTTATATATATTTACTTACTATTTTAAAATATTTTTTTATAAATTTTGTCAGTACTGTTTGTGTCTAGTATTGAAAACTACTTAGCGTTTCAGAACATATCTAACAATTACTGTAAGAAAGGCTGAAGTAAAAAAGCACATGAATTTTTGAAAAATTTTCGATTTTCACTTTTTTATACTTTCTCAAAGCGTAAATATTTCTGTTTAAAATGATGTATGATATGAGGAAATACATCTATAATTAGAAGTATTTTTACTTATTTTTTAAATGAAACTATTCCGTGACGCGCATCAAATCAGCTCTGCTACGAGCACCTGTGTTTCCCCTGCATAGTAGAGTGAATATTAACGTCGCACTGTTCAGCTACAGGAGGGCTTTTGGCGACGGACCACGTAGTTTTGAACCATGGCCAAGCGATACCTGAGCTGGCACCACCTCTCTCCTAACAAAGGGCTGCGGTCGCCCAGTGGTCAAGGTATCGGATCATGGCAGGCATGTCATGAGTTCGAGCCCAGTACCACTAAAGACCCGCCGTGTACGGCAGCGATGCACGTTAAATCTGTCGAGAGCTGAAACGCCCCCCGTTGGTGTGGTGTAGTAGTTAGGAGAGGGGGTACCAACTCAGGTGTTGTCCACGTCACTTGACCATGGTTCAAAATTACGTCGTCCGTCGCCAAAATCCCGTGTAGCTGAACAGTGCGACGTTAATATTCACTCACTCACTCATTGCAAGCTTCGAAAGACAGAAGTTGAATGCAACGAAAGGCACTATGATCATAAACACACACACGTGCTATATACGATAATGAATTAAATGAATCCAATTTTTAGAAATCTAGGTGATCCTATGTTATTAAGAAAAAATGTTTACATGAAAAGACTCACAGAAACCCAAATGAAACAGTTAATGACACTATATGGTCATTGATTCCGGGATCTACATTTGTGGAATTAAAAACTCTAAAAGTAGGGGTAAATATGGCTATTGCACTGTTCAATAGGAGTCATGTAGCAAAATTAATGATCTTAAAACATTCTGATACTGAACCAAGTTATAACTGAGTGCCATGCTTCAAAAAACCAGATGCACATAGGATTCGTGTTGCCCAGTGGTCGGCAAAGTGAGGCTCTGGCACAAATATCCACGGAAGGCGCAATAATATTTTCATTAAAAAAAACTTGGTAAGAAAAAAATTACATCTTATTTTGATAAATTAAAATTCTTTTATAAATCGAGAGCATGTATAATTTTTTGTTTAAGTTAAAAGATAGATTGGTAATTAAAATTTTATATTGTTGTAAAAATACGTAACGAACATCGAGTTTAATTTTATTGGTTTTCGTAAACGTAAACACAAACCATGTACAAGCTATCGGCTGAAATTGTTCGTATGTTTTCGGCGTACTCCGGTGTGATACAAAGGTACCACAAGCATGCGCGCGCATACTTTTTCTAAAGTAGTGAGGGTACAAATTGGCATCACAGACCAGCAGTTGCAGTGTGAACAGTTTTGTCTTATTTACCGTGTCTGTCGTTGCCCTGTCCTATTAAAAAGTTGTTGTATTTTTCAATCTAGCTGCACATCGTACAGGCATTTTTACAAGCATTTATTTAACTTGCAATGTAAATTATTCGGTTGGAATCTTGCAACTCAATTTTGAAGCTGATGCCTTCAACCGATTAAGGTGAAATTTTGCATAGACGTTTAGTTTGGATGATAACACATGCTTTGATCATATATATTTGGCCGCGGTAGCCGAGTGGTATAGGTATCGGATCGTGGCTTGTCTTGTCATGAGTTCGAGCCCAGTACCACTAAAGACCCGCCGTGCAGGGCAGCGATGCACGTTAAATCTGTCGAGAGCTGAAACGTCCTCTCGTTGGTGGGGTGTGGTAGTTAGGAGAGGGGGGGTGCCAGCTCAGGTGTCCACGTTACTTGACCATGGTTCAAAATTACGTGGTCCGTCGCCAAAAGCCCTCGTGTAGCTGAACAGTGCGACGTTAATATTCAATCAATCAACCATATATATTCCGGTATCGCAATTACTTAAAAAGTAATTAATTATAGTAATTTGTTCGAGTGGAATCTTTCAACTCAATTTTGAAGCTGATGTCTTCAACCGATTGAGCTGAAGTTTTGTATACACGTTTAGTTTGGATGACAATGCATGTTTTGATTATTTATATTCCGATATCGCAATTAGTTAAAAAGATATTAATTAAAAAATTCTTACCCATGTTAGAAGCTTACTTTACCTCTTTTCACGAGCCTTCGTGGTCTAGTGGTAAGACACGCTGACTTCAAGTGAATGGCTCCGGGTTCGATTCCCGGGAGCTCGCAGTTTTTAAATTTACTGTAAATCACTTTAATTTTCCTTCGAATATTATTTCTCCTAATCAAACTTAAATTTCCATGTTTTTTACTGTTTTTTTTTTCAAGTTTTTATTTAATTTGTGCAATGTAAATTGTTCGGGTGGAATCTTGTAGCTCAATTTTGATGCTGATGTCTTCAACCGATTGAGCTGAAATTTTTTATACCCATTTAGTTTGGTTGACAATGCATGTTTTGATGATTCATATTCCGATATCGCAATTAGTTAAAAAGATATTAATTAAAAACCTTTTAATCGTGTTTGTTCTTTTTCTTACCCATGTTAGAAGTTTACTTTACCTCTTTCGGTGAGCCCTCGTGGTCCAGCGGTTAGAGAAGCTGACTTCAAATGAATTAACCCGGATTCGATTTCCGGGAGCTCGCAGTTTTTGAATTTACTTTAAATCACATTAATTTTCCTTCGAAAATTATTTCTCTTGATCAAATTTAAATTTCCACGTTCTTTCCTGTTTTTTACAAGCTTTTATTTGGTTTCACCTGTCCCGTTGTCTGTCGGTCTGTAATCAAATCTTGCAAGTTAAATTTGATCCACTTCCCGGTTTCTAATTGAGCTGAAATTTTGTATACTCGTTTAGTGTGGATGACAATGCATGTTTTGACCATTTATATTCCGATATCGCAATTAGTTAAAAAGATATTAATTAAAAACCTTTTGCCTCTGTTAGCTTTTTATTCCGCCGAGCATCTTATCGGATTGAGCTTAGAGTTCTGATTTTCGAACTTTTTTTTAAAAAAAACCATCTTATTCTTTCTATCAAACTGGACAAAAAATAATTACATAATCGGAAAGATCATTTATTTCACCACGATACGGTGTAATTCTTTACAAAAAATTATATTTTCTATTTCTTACGATTTTTTCTAAAATGAGTCAAAATCGATGCATTTTCATGAAAATGATTTCTAAATCGTTCCGTATGAATGTTTTTTCCGTGTTAATGAATCGATATTCTGCACTAAAAAAAAGTTCAGGTTTTACTCTTTTAGAATCAGTCATTTAAAAAAAAAAAAAAAAAAACTTTTTTTTTTTACTATTTTTCAAAAGAACACTCAAATTTTTAATAAAACATTTAAAAGCTTCGTCATTTTTAAAGATAATCGCACGAAACATATTTTTCGTTTGTAGAATAGTATTATATAAATTCTGCACAAAGATTTAAAAAATTGGTTTAAAATTACGGATTTAAAAATTTTTTTGTGTTTTTTTTGTTTTTAATATAGTATTTATAGTAAAAGCAAAAAAAAAAAAAAAAGTTTTAATATTTTGATTAATTTTGCTTTGTCCAATGTTGTTTTGGTCTTACAGTGTTTATCCCCGTCCCCCATTATCCTCTTGTTGCGGCTCGAGGGAAATATCGATCATATGTACGTGGCCTGGTGGGAAAAAAGATTGAGTACTCCACTGAGAGAGCTAGCCTGTTCAAAATTAACCGGCAAACGACCTTGCAACAATGATGCGTTGCATGGGATGAATAGACTGAAAAACCTGTCCACGCACAGCGATAACTAAAAAGTTAAAAATAAATTAAAAGTAAAAAAACTTTTTTTGCTATCAACTTATAACGTCATTACACAATTTGTGATATAAAAGCTTGTCGCGAGATTTACCTGCGTAGATAAACGAGCAAATTAAATAACTTGATCTGATTGATTTTAATTTTTAAAATTTTCAAACTAAGCAAATACGAGTACTTAAATCTCGCGACAAGCTTTTATATCATAAATTGTGTAATGACGTTATAAGTTGATAGCAAAAAAAGTTTTAAAAGAAAAGTTTATTTTATTCTTTTTAGAGCATTTATATAGAAGCTTGTTTTTAAAAAAGTTTTTTTACTTTTAATTTGTTATACGATTTTATTACACCTGCTATATATGTTTGTGGTTCCGGTACAAAATTTGTAATCGATTTTTCGATAACTTCTATTTGTCCAAATGTTGGAAGTTTTCTTCCAATTTTGGTCAGATTAAAAGTTTTGTTATTCTAATGATGGAACATTTTTTTCCCTTTTTAGTGCAGTTACATATATTAATGAAATTGTATTTGTTAAAAAGATTTTTTTTTAAATTTTTATTTTCATCAATTTAATAATCATAATAATTTTGTACTGGTGGCTTTAGAAAAAAATATATGTGGAATAATATTTTTATAGGCACCCCAATTAACATGGCTACCAAAAAAAAAAAAAAAAAAAAAAAAAAGCAAAGAAAAACGGAAGATGAAAACCGCGAATTTAAAGTTGAGTGGACCGAGAATTTTGCGTTTATTCAAAACTTGAATGGACCTCCGACATGTCTTATTTGTAAGGAGAAATTAGCACATAATAAGAAGTCAAATTTAGAGACACTTTTTAAAGAAAGCACGCGTCATTTAGCACTAAATATCCTACCGGTGATGCAAGGAAGAAAGCAGTTTGAGGAACTTCAGAAGAGTCGAGAGTCGTCAATTTCTGTGTTTAATAACTGGATGCAATCTTCCAGCAATATTAATATGGCAAGTTTTGTTTTTAACCAAGAGATTGCTAATAGAGGGAAACCGTACACAGACGGCGAATACATAAAAAATTGTTTTATAAATGCATCCGAAGAGCTGTTTCAGGATTTTAAGAACAAAGCAGATATTCTGAAAAGAATTAAAGAGTTACCATTGTCTGCCAAAACCATTAAAGATGGAACAAATAAAATGTGTTCGAATATAACCACCCAGCATATCGAAGATATCTGAAATTGGTTTCGGCTTTGTCAATAGCAGTTGACGAGTCTTGTGACATAAATGATACAGCGCAAGTTTCCCTTTTTGTACAACATACAAACCTGACTTACTCAAACTTTCCAAGAAGATGTAAGCACATTGTTCGCATTAATAAATATTTATTAAGTATGAAATTTAGTTTTATTTAGATTACTACTTATTTAGTGCAATAAAAGTTTACTAAACAAGCAGATTTGGCTCCCAATTTTTTTTAAAGCTTGTAATGTTCATCTTTGGCTAATAAGTTTGCCGACCGCTGGTGTAGCCCAACGAAAGCATCTTGAGATCCCCCAAAAAAGGCAAAATTGTTATAAATAATGAACAAAAATAGAAGGGGTTCTTTTTTGTATGAGCAGAGAGTAAAAAAAAAAAGAGGCTTCAAAATCTTCTAGAAAGTACTAAAAAAATAAACCACCAAAAAATTACAAATTTTTACTTTAAAGTCTGTTTTCTCAAAATGTAATATTTTTCACTTTATGTACCTTTTTCACAAAAACTATTTATATAGTCTTCAAATTTTCAGTAAGCAGACTTTTAATATGTTTTTTAACGGGGGGAATTAGATATATCTAGCAAACGTTTTTAGATATGACTTTTTTTTAAACTAAATTTTTTTTTGGGGGGGGGGATTGTGTGTGTGGACAATTTTTAAAAAATTCTTAATTAATTTAATTTTAACAAAAAGACAAAACCCTTCGTTAAAGTGTTATGGATAGTACACACATAACCTACTGTGTGAAAAGGGTACATAAATTTACGCAATTTAGCATGGGCTCCTATGGGGGTATCGGACCCCCTTAAGCAAGATTTCGTGAAAGGAAATAAATTGTTAAGAGGAAATGTTTTTTTATATGTCTCATTAAAATGTATAAAAGTTATTGATAATGAAAAAGAAACGCTTATCTTTGCAATAGTATTCGTTGCTATAAGCGAATAGAAAATCATGTTAACTTAATAATCCTTTTTTTTTTTCAGTTAGGGCTATGGTTCATCTTTTCCTCACATCAAGAATTAAGAAAAAGTATTCAAAATATAGTAAAAAGTTTAGTTTTCATCGAGTGTTAAAACAAGAATAAACATAAAGAACAAATAAAATTTCGTTAAAACCTTAAAGTAATAATTTTATGTGATGGTGAAAAAATTCCTTCAGAAAAATACAATTATTTTACTGCGACAACCAACAATGAATCGAACGTTTTGTTAAACGATTGTTACCCAATATCGTTTTGTCTTCCTCCTAGCAAATCACGAGTTACTTAAACCGTAGAAACCACTAAGCGATAAATGAGGTGGGGGATATCACGAGTGTCACCTACGATAACGCGAGAAAAGAGATAATTAGATCGTTCTTTATTTTTTCTTTGCAAGTAATATTGCTGTCAGTGGAGATGTAGTATTTGTTATCTTGTAAAACATTGTTATATTAATTTAAACAATATTTTTTTTTACGAAAGCATTTGCTTTGTTATGTGTATGTTCTTAAAAATGGTACTTTTTAGAATGTTGGTCTAAATTCATGTTTATAAAATTGATATTCTTAAAAATGTGTATCGCAAACGATTTTTTAATAACATTGTTATGCCTTTCATATCTTTTGAAAATTATTTCTGAGATTATTGATGAAAATCTTGTAGAACTTCTGTATAATTTTTTGGCAAATGTTAATTGATTAATTTTTTAGGATTATTGAAACATTCATGAAAGTGTACGTATAATTTTCACAAATTGTATTATGCGGCAAATTTTTTTATGTAGTTTGTAATGCATATTTTCATGTACTTTTTCAGAATTCGTGTTAGAAGCTCAGCATTAATGTTTCAATATCGAAAATATAATAAATAAAGAACACTGTGCTGAATATTTTTGTTGATTTATGCTAATAACTTATATTGTTATTTAGGCAAACAAAATCTCTCTACATAATTAATAATAAAAATAAATTATCAAGCGGTACCTTTTTGTATAGTGAAAAAGAATTCTCTTTTTTAAAGACTGCGTCTTTGAACCGTATCTGTATATGATGAATTACTTGAATTATCCAGCTTATAAGTGTATATCAGTAAGTTGTTCACAGTGCATTAATCATATTTTTTTTTAAATAAAAAGCTAAAATTCTAGTATTCTCTTGAAAACTTCATTTTGGTTTGCAAAATTAGTATAGCTCGTTTAATTCTTGGTCGATAATAATTTCCTATTGAA